CGGTTTCCACAGTTAATGGGGGACCCCTATTCAGGGCATGGGAGCCGAGGAGGCTAAGCATCCTTCAGTCATAAGCCATACCCCACATGGTAAAATACCTCTCCCAAAAGCTAATTTGGGAAATTTGCCAGAAAGGCATAAAATGAGTTTAATGGGTTCCATCCAACCACATTTCAGTCTTTCAATTAAAGAGAAGAGAAAATACTAGACTAGGAGCACAGATGATAGAACGTTGGCACGTGTCCCTCACACTGAGGATAGATATTGCCTTGTGACTTTGGTTTTGGTTACCCGGTCTGCGTCCTATGTACTAGTACTTACCGTGTCCTACATTTATGATGTGAAATGTAGGTCTTACTGTGGGCCAGGTGTGAAAAGGGTGAAAAACACTAAGGTACCTTCACAAGATTCTGAGCAGAGGATGTGCCCCCAGCAACCCCCAACATGACCCCCATGGTGCCGAGTGAGGCCTGGAGGGACAACCTGGGCCACCTGGGCCACTTGGCACTTGGCCAAGGCACACAGAGAGCACGGAGGTCACAGCCAGAGGGCCCCAGGCCTCTCCAGGTGCCATGGGGCAGGCGAGTCCCTGGTGCAGTGGGGTGGGTGTGCAGTGACCGCCTGTGGTCTCACCTCGGGGCAGACCCTCTCGGGGAACAGGCCACAGGGAGCAAAGCCAGAGGCCCCTCAGCCCGAGGCCTCTCCTGTGCAGCCCTAGGGTTGGGGAGATCCTCCTTGCTGTTGGGGACCCCAGACATGATAATTGGGGAGGGGCTTTGAGCCAACTGCCCCCTTCCACCAGAGCATCACCACTGTCACCTAGGTTGTCCACAGGCCAGGGGTGGGAGTGATTGTTTTTGCTATGACTTGGATTCCAGGAGGAAGGGTTTAATGACCCCTGGTGCAGGGCCCAAAGTCAACCCTGCCCTGCCTGGTGCCTGCTGACACTCCACCTCACTGGGCAAAGTGGGGCCCCAGGGTGTTCTGTGGGTCTGCCAAGAGCACAAGGCAAGTGTGCGTGGCTGTGCCCCAGTTAGGTGTCCCCAGTCCATCCATGACCATGTCCTCAGCCGAGCTGGAAAGGGGACCCTCCCTTGTCAGCCTTTGAGGAGCAGTGGCTGAGCCCCCAGTGACGGGCCCTGAGGGAGCTTGCACAGTGGGCCCGGTGGGGCTCTAGCCTGCGGTGGCCAGGTGGGCACACCTGGTGGGGAGCATTCTCTGAGCAGACAGAGGTCAGGGCCAGTACCTGCCCCCTGCCGTCCCTTAGTCCCTGTGGATGGCAGGGACTCATACAAGGAATGGCATGGGCACCTGGGAGGATGGCCCAGACCCAACGGGGCCCCACCCAGAGCTGATCCCACAAGGATAGGGCCTCACCCTGACCCGCCATCCCCAGCCCAGCAACATTGTCAGGGGCCACTCCTGGGAACCTGGAACAGAGAGCAGGGCAAACTCTGAGCCCCTGTGTGCTCGTGGATGACCTCATGTGCCAAGCACCATACCCTGCCCTGCGGACACAGCAGACTCCACTGGCCCCTGCTGCAGCCCCCGAGCCAGGTCAGGGAGATGCCAGGAGGCAGGACCTAGCAGGACACGCCAAGGTGGCTTTTACTCCAGGTGAGACCTTCCCAGGGCCACTGCTCAAGCAGGCCACATAGGTGTGTGGTGGGCAAACAGCTATGTGCACAAAGGTGAGTGTATTTTTTTTAATGCTTTGTTTTTGGAGGGGTAGCCTATTTTGCCAAAGTGACAGGTGCCAGGGTGACTGATTAGTGCCCTGGCCCTGGCACATCAGCAAAAGTAACAAGTTTGAAGTCCTTGAGGCAGGACCTACCTAATCTGACAGGGAAGCGCTGGGCCCTGACCTGCGGGTGCCCCCCTAGCCCTGCCTCCACCTGCCCCCGCAGCCCCCCAGCCCAGGGGTCCCCCCCAGCCCCATCTCACCTGGCCCGCAGCCCCCAGCCCCGCCTCCATCCACCCCTGCAGCCCCCCAGCCCAGAGCACTTGCTCAGCCTCTGCAAAGGTTTTTCTTCCCCCTCAGATGCCTCTTCTTTCTTTTCTGGAAGCAGAGCTGTTCTAAGATAATACTGCTTCTGGGAAACAGGGCTGAGAGTCTTGTTTGTTTAAAGAAAATATTTTTCTTCCACACACAAGTGCTGTGTTTACGCCATAAACCACTCCTCTTCCGCTGCGTCCTCCCGGGTCCCCAGTGTGGCCCAGGCAGAGGGAGGAGGGGAAGCTGGGCCAGGATGGGAGGCTGGGAGTCTCGAGGAAGGGGTGCTCACCCCAGCAGGGCCTCCGCGAGAACCTGTGGGCTGCACATGCTGGCCTCAGGCCCCATCGGCCCAGTCCAGGCCTCGGTTTCCTCATCTCTAATGGGGGCAGCACTTGGCTCAGGAGTCATTCTGAGGAGGCCACGCACCATGGACTCCGAATGTGGCCCAGAGCACAGCTGGCCAGCCCCGGCCCCTCACAGTTACTAAGAGCCCAGGAACCACCTGTGGCCTAGGGAGCCACAAAAGGTGGCCCAACTGCTTTGGGACCAAGGTGAAGCTGAGGAGAGGGGCCCCATGAGGGCCTGGCCCAGCAGCCACATCTGGCCTGGCACCAGCCCTGCCCTTGTGGGAGGTGTTGGCTTCTCTTCTCAGGCATGCCGTGGGCCTATCACACTCACTGACCAGGCCTTCCTGCCCAGAGTGACCCCCTCCCGGGTGCAGGGGGTCTAAGAACAAGTGCATTACTGCATCAGGGTTTACACTGAGGGTGGTCATTTTAACATTTAGACTTTTAAACACATTTTAGTAACAAAAATCCTTAGTACCAGATGTTTCTTCCAGACATTGCTTTATGGAGCCCGACTTGAGTCAAACTGGGTTGAAGAGACTCTACCTTCTCCCCCTCGGTGACTGAATCCATGTCACCAAACATTCAACGACCAGTCCCACCCCTTGCCCAGACTGGGGACTTGGAAAGGAAGAGACTGACCAGCGTCTTCCCTTGGGAAAGCTCACCGTCTGTGAGGAAACAAATGGGCCACATGATACAAAGCCACTGTCCTAGTCACTACCAGGGGATGGTGCCTGTCTTTTGGAGGTGAGCTCAGTGTGTACTGACAGCTCAATGCCTAAACCCCTTTGGACCCTGCAATTTTATTTCTAAGAATGGTTTCTTTTTTGGAGAAAAACTTATGCACAAATATTAAGTTTGTAAGAACACTCATTATGGCTCTGTTTATTAAAGCAGAAAGCCAGAAACAACCTAAATGTCCAATCACCACGGATCAGTTAAATAACTCACATAAATAAAGCTGTCACAAATCATGGTGTGGGAGATGACATGAGGCAGAACCACGAGCACTGCATTCACAAAAAGAGCATTGGGCAAAGTTGTTTGTAGAGCACAATCATTCTCATTCTAATTTTTTCAATATATACATACACAGGAAAGTCCAAAGAAAAAGTCTAGAAAGATACACTCTGAAATACCAGTACTGGGTTTATATTATTTTTCCTTTTGTTTAATTATATTAGCAATGTGTTTCAAATGAGCATTATTTTATCAGAAACAAAAGACTGGTTGAAAAAGCAATTCATTAGGATAATGGCAATTAACAGGAAAAATATGAACAAGGTACAGAAATAGTGCAAAAAAATAAGTGGCTGAAAATATGGAAGCAACCTAAGTGTCCATCAGTAGATGAATGGATAAAGAGAGTGGTACATATACACAATGGAATACTATTCAGCCATAAGAAAGACACAAATCCTACCATTCGCAACAACATGGATGGAGCTAGAGGGTATTATGCTTGGTGAAATAAGGCAGAGAAAGACAAATACCAAATGATTTCCCTCATTTGTGGAGTATAACAACGAAGCAAAACTGAAGGAACAAAACAGCAGCAGACTCACAGACTCCAAGAAGGGACTAGTGGTTACCAAAGGGGATGGGTGGGGGAGGGCGGGTGAGGAGGGAGGGAAAAGGGGATTGAAGGGTATTATGATTAGTACACATGGTGTGTGTGGGGTCACAGGGAAGACAGTGTAGCACAGAGAAGACAAGTAGGGACTCTGTGCCTTCTTACTACACTGATGGGCAGTGACTGTAATGGGGTATGGAGGGGACTTGATAATATGGGCGAATGTAGTAACCACATTTTTTCATGTGAAACTTTCCTAAGAGTGTGTATCAATGAATAAGAGTGTGTATCAATGACACCTTAATAATAAAAAAAAATAAGTGGCTCGTTCTGTTTGAAGGGCCAGGACCAAGGAAAGAGCTCCTCTGGAGGCTAATGTCAGAGTCCTCTGGATTCTGAGGGACACCGTGCAAAGCCTTCCAAAATCTCAAGAGGAGAAGGCAGAGGGAAAAGCCTATGCAGTAGACAGCGAGCAACTGGTACCCACATGTGTCCCCGAGCCCAGCTCATCAGGAAGCCAGAGCCCCAAGCAGGGCCCAGGGCCCTGATCTCACCCCAGACAGCAGGAGCAGCTTGTGTGGACACTTAAAGCCTCTGTGCTTTCAATCGTCTCCAGGTCCACGGAGAGCAACAAGTGCAAGCGGTAGCAGTGTTAGACAGCACACACTTACTTGTGTAAAAATAAAGGCCCTATAGACAAGAGTGCCTATAAACCAACACAAACATAGTAACAGAAGAAAAAAATCTCAAGGGCCTTTAAAATATATAAAAAGATGTTCATCTTTGCTCATAACAGAAATATGCAGTAAAATTACACTGAGATACTATTTTTCACCCACTAAGTCGGCAAAATCCAAGTTAGAGACCACCCTCTATTGGCAATACTGTGGGAAGCAGATACTCTTGGACATGGTTAGTGGGATTGTAAATGGTTCACCCGAACTCCGTGGAAGACCATGTGGACAGCATCCACCAAAACCGCAAATGCAGATGACCCAGAAATGCCACTTCTAGGCACCTGTTTGATGGGCACATGCACATATGTAAAATCATAGGTATTCAAGTTATTAACCTTCAGCGTCGTATGCACCTGCAAAAGATGGAAAACCACCTCCGTGTCCAACCACAGGGGATGGGTTAAATAAGTTACAATGCATCTGACCAGTGGAACATTACACAGCTGTCAAAGTGACTGAGGAGGTGATGGGAGCAAAACTGGCCGAGTCAGACCCTTTGAAGATTCACCCTCTGTAGAAGCAGTGATGGCAGAAATCATCAGAATCAACTTTTTTCAGACTCTGGAAGTTAACCAGAGGCTTGCAGCAGCCTGGGGAATGTTTATTCAAGAAAAACGACTGAATCTCAGCAGGAATAGCAAATCTCCATGGAGTTTTAACTTGCCTTGTGCCATCTCCCACTTGCCAGCTCAGTGCCACCCTTGAAAACCAACAGCCCATGTTCCTGGTCCCAAAAGGAACAGGACGGAGCCAAGGGCCTCCAAAGTCTCCTTCTCACAGGACTGGCATCCTTGGGCATGTCCGGTGGTTCCCCAGAAGTCCCCTTTGGGGAAAAAAATTGCCTTTATTTGATGTAACTCTGAGTTCACTCAGTGCTAAAAGCCTCTCCCTGGGGAGCATTTGTTGAAAATATTTACAAACAAGGGTTTTAGCACTGTAGCTGCTCCGAGGCAGTGAAGAACAGCTGGGGCAAATAATAGACCAACCAAAATAATAGATAAATAGGTAATAAACAGATAACAAATAACAGACTAACCCAGAAGGAAAAACTGAGGAATGAGAGATGTTACAGGAGCTTTAAAAAGCTCTGACATACTCGGATCTTAAATCTTTGGTGGGCAAGGGGTCTTTCTGGGATCCTTGTTATAAGAGCATTAACGTCATTCTTGAGACCCTCATGACCTAACCACCTCCCAGAGGCCCCACCTCCTAACACCATCACCGTGGCAGGTAGGATTACAATATGTGCATTCTGGGGGGACACAAACATTCAGGCCATAGATAGCACTGTGTGACTCCACTTGTATGAGGCCCCAAGAAGTCAAATGATAGACACAGCAGGTAGATGATGGGCGCCAGGGGCTGGGGGAGGGGAACAGGGAGTCAGTGTTCAATGGGGACAGTTTAAATTTGGGAAGATGAAATGAGGTCTGTGGATGGACGGTGGTGATGCTGTACAGTGAGTGTTAATACCCCTGAACCTCATGCTTAGAAGTAGTTAAGGTGGTTTTAAAGGGGGGTAGTGTATGTGCATATTTGCTTGTATATAAAGAAACTCTAGAGAGAAGCATGAAGAACCACAGCAGCAGTTCCCTGGGTGGCCAGCTGGGTGGGTGAGGTGGGAGTAAGAAAAGGGCTTCTTACTACGACTGCTTAATGCTTTCTCATCACTGAATCACACCAATGTAGTCCTGTTCCAATAGTTACATCTAAAAATGAAATCAGTGAAAAGGAATCACGTTTAAAAATGAAGGACTGAATGAGCAGACCACTGGCTCCAGCTGCAAGTTTGCAGGCGATGCAGAATTCGTGGAAGGACACTGCTGGATGCACAGTGAAAGCCAGGCCGTGGGAAACCCTCCAGGTTAACCGGCCCAGCCTCTCCAAAACACTTTGCTCAGAAAAGAAAGGGAAGGATGGGAACCTCTGTGCAAGACCAAAAAGATGGTGCAAACTAAAAAGGTGCCAGACTGAGCCACAGGGTCCCAGGTGATGGTTGGTGAGGAAGCACAAAGCAGGTCGTTCGGGGCCAGGGAGGGAGGCAGGCATGGCTGGGCTCCTGCGTGGTGGCAAACCTGCTTCCGATACTTCATAATTCATCAAGGTGTCTGTTTTGTATGACTTTCTATATTGGGTTTTTTTTTTTTTTTTAAAGAAGAGGTTAAAGGACATACAGGCCTTCCACCCTCTCCCTGCTTGGCAGGGGCGCTGGCTCTGGGCCTTGGGCAGCACTGAGTGTCTCCTGGCACAGGGCCTGTGGCAGGTGGCTGGCAGTTAGCCGTGGCTACTGGGGGAGGGAAGCTGAGCCTCCGGATTTTGGGGAACCAAGGATACCACTCAAAAAGCTCATGGCTTCTCTTCTGTTGAAAACCTGGCCAGTGCCTTGGAAGAATTTCCTCAGGGGCCACCAAGGCTCTGTGAAATGCTCACCACCCAACACCCAGAGGGGGGAGCCCGGACCCACCCCAAGAGCTGGCCCTGAGCTCTCCTCATCCATCTAATTAGAGAGGGCCCAACTGCCCAGACTGCCTCTCGCCGGCTCCCGGGGGCCTGGATCCAGTCTCCCGTTGGATGGACCCCTCCCACAAGACCCTCTGCTAATGGCCCATGTATACTGGTGTTGGTCCAGATTTTGCTCTGCACAAACTTATCCTGGTTAAGGATTTTCTTCTAACCAAAATAGGTCATCATATCTTGTACAGTGTCCTGCAACTTGCCTTTGGGATCAATACACCATGAGCAATTTTTTGTTGTATTAGATCCAGACATAACCTATTCTTGTTGAGAGCTCCATACCACAGCATGCTTTCAAGGAAGTTATTTTTATTTACTTTGTTGTTATGTATGCATGTTGTTTTGTTTACATGTCACAATTAAGGTCATCCGTGACAACTGTAGAAGATCTGGAGAAAAAAGAGAATTTAAAAAAAAAAGTCACCAGATATCCTTCCATTGAGGAGTTGGTGGTCACATCTCTTCCCTGTCACTTGATGGCTCCCACGCCCCCCACTTTGCTGGCGGCTCTGTGAGCAGGAGGAATGGCAGAGACAGCTGGGGACGGCTCTGATGGGGTGTTCCTTTCCTGTTGCTAATATTGTATTAGTTACTACAGATTCAGCAGCTCGAAACAACACAAGTTCATTTCCTTACGGTTCTGATGCAGCTTCCACTGGGCTAAAATCAAAGCGCTGTCAGGGCTGCTTCCTCCTGGAGACTCCGGCAGGGAATCCGGTTCCTTGCCTCTCCCAGCCTCGGGAGGCACCCGCATCCCTTGGTTCATGGCCCATCTTCAGCAGCGCTGGCTGGCCCTTATGCTGCCATCTCTGCTTTGCCCCCTCCCCACTCCCGCCTCTACCTTCAGGGACCTTTGTGATCACTCGGAGCCCACAGGACCATCTCCCCATCTCAAAGCCCACTGACTAGCAAACTTAATTCCCCTTTACCTCGCAACCTCACAGTCACAGGATCTGGAGAACAGGACACGGATATCTTTGGGGCAGCTGTTGTACCCCCACAGATAGCCCAGTGTGGCACCACAAGGACCCAGGCCCAAGGCCTGTGCAGGTGACTGTGGGGGGGCCGGGGTTCTGACTCCACACCCCTCACATCCAGGACAGCCAACTGGAGACTGCGGCACCCCTGGACACTGAAGTGGACTTGGGGGTCATGGGGATCACCATATGATAGGACTTACATCATCTGAAATGTGCTAATTTTGGTGTATCTGAATTTGCCTTCATCATCTTTTACATCCTGCGTAATTAGTACATTTGAAATTAGGGAACTGAGCAGTTGGGAGGTGAGCTCCACATTTGAGGCCAGATCTCTGCAGAAAGGTGTGAAGCCCACACCCAAATAGAGCTCTGGTTCTACGGCCTCCTCAAAGATCCTCTCAGCTTTAAAAAATTCATACTTAGACCCAGAAATTTCACTAACGAGAGTCTCTCCTAAGGAAATAATTCTAAATATAGGAAAACACTCCAGCACAAGGATATTTGGGGCAGCTTTCCTTGGAAAAGTAACTAATTAGAGGCAACCTAATTGTCCGGCAGCGGGGGACCAGCGGGCATGTGACAGGGCATTTAGCACATCATTAACATAATGAGTCTGGAAGAACATGAGCAAAACACTTTTGTGGTGGTGAGCATAAAGCAGGACCCCAATCAGATGCCCACAGCTAGAGGTTTAAAAGCACGGAGTGAAGACTCCAAGACATGAAATGACAGGTCCCCGGAGGCTCTCTGGCTGGTGAGAATGTGGGTGATTTCTTTTCCTTCTCACTCTCCTTCTCCGAATTTTTCATATCTCCTGAGATGAACATAATAGAAAGGTTTACCTTCAGTTGAGTGGGCCGTATTCACTAATTCGTGTGTAACATCAGCCCAGACCCCTAGTGTAAGGGTATGGATGTGTGTGCATGTTTATTAGCATGCAGATGTGAATGTGTGTGTGTGTGTGTGTGTGTGTGTGTGTGTGTGTGTGCGCGCGCGTGAATAGATGTAAGGGCAGGAGCAATGAAGAACAGTGTATCCCTGAATACTATTTGTGTCTGGGAAGAGGGGAAAGGGTGGTGCCAGCTAGAGTGGGGCTCAGCCTCGGCCGTAGGCCGGGCCCCCACAAGTATGACTAGGTGTGAATAGGAACTAGATGTGGGTGTGAGTACATGCTGAGGGTATCCATGTATGTGCCACTGTTTGCATGTGTGTGCATGTCTGAATGAGCATGTACATGTATACGCAATGCATGTGTGAGGACATCTATGTGTGAATGTTGGTGTGGGTGTGTGAATTATACAAACATGTGAATCTGTTTCAGTGCTTGTGTAAATACATATGGGTACAGGTATGCAGGTGTGTGAGGGGGCAGGTGCTGAGGTGTGTGTGAGCCTGCAGGCATGAACTCTGTGTGTAAACATGAGTGTGTGTGCACAAGTGTGCATGCAAAGGCCTGTGAGCATGGCTGATGAGTGTGCCTTTGGCCCAGCCCCGGAGGTGGGAAAAAGGGAAAGGGTCTGCCCTGCAGGCTCAGCCCCCCAGCACCCGTCCCGAGAGGCCACAAAGCCTTGAGACATGTGGGCATCTAGAGCTGAGGGCCTCAGAGCTGGGGCGCCCCCAGAGCAGTGCACCTACTTCCTAGTATCTGCCTGGCTTCTCGGAGGGTGACCTGGTGGCCAGAGCAGGGTGCACTGTCACCCGCAGGAGCCTCCATGCCCCACCAGCAGCTCTGTCCTCACCCACCCATCCATCCTGCCCCCCCAACGGTGCCCAGCCCAGATCCAGAGCAGCTGCCCCGACCCTGGCCCCTCCACCCTGGACTCCTCCTCAGCCAGGAATGGGCCAGCAGCCCTGTGACCAGCCACAATGCTGAGCTGCAGAGAAGAAATTGCCAGGCAGGGCCCAGCCAGAGTCACTTGCTTCAGTATCACCAGTGTAGAAGCTCAGACGATGCTGGCCTTCCATGGGGCACGCAAAGGCAAGGAATGCCAGGCAAGAGGCGTTGTGCCATTGTTGAGAGAAAAAGGGAAGACCTGGGACCCTTCTGCATAGGGCTCCCTGACCCCCACCCCAGACTGCGGCCCCTTCCCCAACCTCCAGCCCTGGCCCCCTCCTGGGCAGCATTCAAGTGGCCTAGAACTCAGCTAGGTGGGCAGCTGGCACCTGGGATGGGCCAGCCCTGCCTCCACTCCCCTTTCTCCCAGTTATACCCTCCAATCCCCTGCCTGCCAGGAGCCAGGGTGCTAACCTGGGTCTGGCCCAGCAAATCAAGGGGTTCCAAGGCTGCTGGGCCTCCTGCAGGACCCGCCTCTCCTTCCTGGTGGGTGGGAGGTCTTCCCTTCTCATTCTGGCCAACTCCCACTTGCTTTGCTGCGGGCAGCCACCAAAGAAGGGGCAAAACTCACATGTGGCAACTTCTCCACACGGCTCCAGCCACAGATCTGAGGGGAAAAGCCAGAGGAGTGCCTTCTGTGAGCCTGCATGGAGCCTGACCTGGGTCTGTGATGGAGACACACTCACTGACCCAGCCTGGCCCGGGGCAGGTAACCGCCCACGGACCCCCCAAGCCTCCATGCCTCATCTGCAAACAGGGTCCTGGTGGCCCAGGGCAGAGCCCGACATGCGGGTGTAGGCGTGTGAGGGGGCGGATGCTGGGGGTGTGTGAGGACTATACTGCTCGCATCCTCCACCGGACAGTCAGTCCTGTGCAAAGCTCCTGGTGACAATCAAAGCTTTTTTCCATGCTGTCCCTCCCTCCTTCAACCTGACTCCAGAGGCTTCCAATGCAAGCCCTCCAAACCATGGCCTCCTCACCTTTTCATCTCTGCCACAAAGAGCAGCTTTACTGGAGGTCATTTTGATTTCTTCTGAGGCTCAGCAAATCGACAAAGGCCAAGCAGCTTCACACCCTTGGTCAAGTCCACATGCCGGAGCTGACCGACCGCTCCAGGCCATCTGCTCAGGAAGGGCGTGGGAATGGGAGTCCTCCCAGAGCGGTGGGCGGCCCATGCACTGCACCCCGAGAGGCCCAGGCAGGGTGAGGCCTTGTCTCGGGGTGCATGGCAGCCCCACATGTCCTGCTATGATGCACTTGCTAAAAATGCAGCAACACAACCCCATTCCATATGCTCTCGCAGAAACCAAATTGGGGGTCTTGTCCGCTCCCCTTGACATGGCTGACCTCTGAGATTGTCTCAATCAGCAGAGCACGTGGAGGTAACGCTATGGGACATCCAAGGCTAGGGTACATCCTCCGGGTCTTCTTGGGACCCAGCTGTCCATGCTGGAAGCCCCACTAGCCACCTGGAGAGACCACATGGAAGCCACACATAGGCATTCTGGCTGCAGGTCCAGCTGAGACCTTAGTTGGCAGCCAGCATCAACCACCAGATACCTGAGTGAAGACGCTTCCGGAAGACTCCAGCCCCCACCAGAGGCTCTGGGCCCATCATGCTGCCCTGATACCTGTCCACAGGCACCAGGAGCAGCTCCCAACGGCTTTTACACCCTGAGGTTGGGGCGGTTACTGCACCCCACAGGTGTTGGAAGGGAAGGCCACACCTGTCCTCCTGTCCAGCCTCCCCAATGCCAAAGGTCAGTCCTGCCTGTCCTGGGAAGGTCACTACCGACTCCACGAGCACTGTCCGGTTTTCTCAGTGGCCCCAGGACAGAAGCGAGCCATCGTGAGTGCCTGCCGGCCAGGGTGACAGGCTCACCCCCAACAGGGAAGGATTTCTGCTCAGATGATTCTTGCCTCAAGGACCAAGCCAGGAGTTCAGGAGGCATCGCCAAAACCTCATTGGCCACCAGACAGGGCCTGCCCTCGCCCCTCTGCCCTGCAGGTCCCTGGGGCTCTCCCTGCCTACTGCCCCTTCCAAGTCCAGGACCCCACCCCTCCCAACACCTGCCCTGGTCTCCCACCCCAGCTGCCACCTTCCACCTGCTCCAGGCTGCAGCCAGTGTCCCATCCTAGAGCCCAGGTCTGGAGAAGGAAGGTTCTGTGTAAAATTGATGCTGCTGATAAGCCAGTCACAAAAGAGCCCAATTTAGAGAGACAGAGAAGGGTGGGTAGGGGTGTGCAGTGGGGACACACTCTCAGTTTGGGAAGATGAGAAAGTTCTGGAGACGGATGGCAGTGACAAGCTGCACAGTGTGAATGTACTGAATACCACTGAATAGGATGCTGAAAAGTGGCTGAGATGGTAAATTTTGTTATGTCTATTTTACCACAATTAAATGTATGTGTGTATAAAATAAAAACAAAACTGACTTGGTCCCCACGGCCCAGGGATAACACCACTCCTGACTGGGGCCCTGCTGGCCACAGTCCCCGGACACTGTGACTGTCCAGGATGCTGCCAGGCCACCTGGAGCCCTGGTGCAGAGCGCACTTCCGGCCCCTGGCTGCCAGCCCCGCCTGGCCTCTCACTCTGCCTGCCAGCCTCTGCCCACCCAGCCTGCAAAGGCCCCGTCAGTTACTTCCTGATGGCCCCAGGCTGAGGGCCCCTGGGGCTGGGGAGGGCACACAGGGCAAAGGGAAGGGAGTGGCCCTACTGGAAGGACCACTCAGCACCTGGTTTTCTAAATCATCCACTTTATTTGAAATTTTTCACATGCCACAAATTTACATGAAAATACCCATTCAAAATGTAATTTGAACACAAAATTCAGGAGTGAGCATCACCAGACAGATGAGGTGGTCTGCCATGGAAAGGGAGAGCATTTAGCACCTGGTCACCATATACCATGAGACCCCCCAGGCGAATATACCCCTACCCCTTAATAACATGCTGAGTGCAGCTGTTTGGAGCTAGAGCGGCATGTGGACAGCCAGTGGTTGGAGGGGCAGCCCGCGCTGGGGTCGACAGCCCAGTGAGTGTCAGTGCCCACTGCACACCTGCTGAGACTACCTCTCACCCACCCACCCCTGACCACTGGCTAGCCAGAGGCACAGCAGGGAGGCCTCAGCTCACACCACTGGGGTCAGCAGGAAGCCAGGCCCCCAGGGGGAACAGAGCAGCAGCTTCTGCTCTGACCAGTCTCCCAGGGCCCGGCCTCAACTCCGTGACAACATGACATGCGGCCGACAAGCCGCCCTGGATCATCCACATTCCCCGGGACCAGCTGGCCTGGAGGGGGACGCAGCAGGTGCCCTGACCCTGTGACATTAGTGCTAAACCCACACTTTGGTAGGTTTTGAAAGGGCTTTACAAAGGAACATTTAGACAACACTGGCCAGGCTGTGTGGGACAATTTTTTTAACTTCTGTGGGTATTTGTTCATTAAGCCCAGTCTTGGAAACTTCTAATTAGAAGCCTGTGCCCTGAACACAGATGAGGCCAATGACCATCACAAGGGGTGCCCTCTTGTACAATCTGGTCCCTTTTCTGGCAAAGGGACAGGACAGATGGGGGGATGGGGGCGCTCAGGGATGAGGCCACGACCACAGTGTACCTGCACCCCGTCATGTCTCCATCATACCCACAGGAGGTCTCCATCTCCCTCACCTCAGGTTTATGGCTGAAACACACTGCCAACAGCCATGGTGTGTCCTCATCCACTAATTTATTTCTCACTATTTTTCTTACAAGGTCTCAGCAATTTTCAAATTGAAAAGGAGCGCATTAACAAGGGCAAGAGAAGCAGGGGCTGCCTGAGCCCCACGGCAGCTGAGAGGCCAGGGCATGTCCACAGGGCAGGGTGCCATCTTGCCAGGCAGAAGGAAGGGGTCTTGGGAACCTCCGCCTGCCCAAGGGTTACAGGCTGCCTGTACTGGTTTCACACTGTCATCAGCCAACAGAGGCCCAGACCCCTCAGCTCCTGCAGCCCTGCTCCCTGGCCCAGCTTTCCCAGCCAGGCCTCCACCACGCGTCCATCTGCACCTAGTGGCCTGCAGCGCCTCTGGCACAGGGCCAGTTAAGAGAGTGCAGCCCTCAACCACCAGCCCTACAGAGCTGGGGGATGGGGGTAGGGTCAGTCCCAGGGATCACGACAGGAAGAAACCTCCCAGCAAGTGCAAATGGGCTAAGATCTGTGTCCCTCTGGCCCCTGAAGGGCAGTGGACACACAGGAATAAAACCCTCATCACAAGACAGTGTCCCTAATTCAGCCTCCTTGGGCCTGGAAAAAAAAATACTTGCTCATGAAAATGAGAAAAGCCAGGTAGCAAAGCAGGGAGCCTACAGGGCTCTGCTTTCCTTGGGCTCAAGCTTCCTCCCCTGGGGAGCACTTCAGACCTGTGGCTAGGCTGCACGGCAGTGTGGTAGCAGAGCTGGGGCCAGGAGCAGGTAGAGCCACAGGACCGAAAGGATCGGGTGGAGCATGGCAGGAGGGCAGCTGGGGGCTCAGGGGCTTCTCCTTTAACACAGGGATAAATGCCCTGATCTCTCCCTCCTCCTTCCCATCCCTCTTACCCGTGTGGTGGTGTGTCTCTTACACGTGCACATGCACACACATGCATATACATACACAAGACAATCACACCAGTTGTGCACATGTACACAGCAGACATTCGTGTGCACACACCCAGACACGCACCAGGCACCATGCACACACACATGCAGGCCCCAGTGCTGCCCAGGCCCCTCTCGGCAGCAGCATATGGTTCACCGCTTAAAAGCCCAGTTCTGCCAATTGGGGACCATTAGGGTGGGTTCTTTCCCCAGCAAAAAACGACGCAGAATATAAATTGCAATTAACACCAGTGCCAAAACAGCACTTAGCAAGAATAAGCACATTATTAACATCTGGTGAATCCTGTCTTGGGTGTGGAAGCAGCAGAAATTCTTGCTCTAAGTAGAAGGATGGTTGCAGGGGACCCTAAAAATGCAGGGTCCACTGTTTGGAAGCTGCTTTCCAAGGCAGCTCACACCCCCAGCCTCTTGTGAATGGCACCGCCCAGCCCTACTTGCTGGCATAAATAATTTTGCTGGTGAAAACTGCTTGCTCATGAGAACAGGCCATTGAGTGAGAGTGTGGACAGTCACAGACTCTGGGTAAATTCCCAGCAGAAGATAATTCCCTGGCCAAAGAGCAGGTTGCTCTGAAAGGATGGAGACAGGTAACCAGAACTACCCTAGCCCCCCAGCATAGATATGGCCTGGCTCATGGGAACCCTGGGGACAGACAGGCCAACTGCCTGGCTCCTGGGCTACATCCCCCTGCCAGTCAGGCTGCAACAGGTCACACCTTTGTTTTGAGGACAGTCCCCACACCCCTTTCCCAGCACCCTTGCCTGGTGGTCTCCAGAAACCAACTGAAGGCTCCCCGGGGCCCAAGGCAGCCCACCCCTCAGCCTGCAAGGCCAGGAAGAGATGGGACCCAGGATGTGGCTCTCAGACTGAGTTGGGACCTCGAAGGTGACCTCCATTCACCTGGAGGAAGCCTGCAGACAGCCTGGCCAGGACACGAAGAGCCGCCAGGTGCAGCCCAGGGCAGGGAGAGGGACCCTTATGCTCCAGAACAGAGCCAACCGCACCGTCAGCCAGAAAACTGGGGAGAGGGGAAGGGCACTCCCCACTCTAGCCTGCAGACACCCTGGCCACTCAATCAGGGCAGACCAGCAGAGCCAGAGCCTCTGGGACCATGGATCTGCCACACTGGGTTCCTTCAGGGCCTGACCCCAGGAGTGCTCGGTTCCTACAGCCGCCAGCAGGAGGCCTCCTGGACCCCCTTGGCCTGGGGGTAGGAGGCTGCTGAACTGTTTGCCCCTTGAGAACCCAGGGAAGGGCAGGCAAATGTATGCCCAGGGCCACAGGTGCTTTAATAGGTAAATTGACAGGACATGCTACAGATCAGGCGACCATCACCATGGGAACAGTAGGCAGACAGGTGGGTAAGGGGCCACAGAGCTAGGATAGGCACCAGGAGTGAGAGCAGGGCCTGGTGGGCTCCACACCCTCAGCCCAGAGAGGGAGGGAGGCCAGGGTGAGAGGCACAGCCCCATGGGGATGCTGGGGTCAGGCCTTTTTGGAGACCAAGGTGGCCCTGATAATGCCCAACATTCCTGGGAAGTCTCCCGGAGCACTTCTGAGAGCAGCTGGGTCAGGACTCCAGGAGGAGGGAACCCACCCATGGCCCCCCAAGCCGACCAGCCAAGGGGATGGGGGGATGGTGGCTCTGGGGGTCACAGCTGAGCAGACAGAGGCAGTGGGATCAGCAAAGGTCTAGGCCCTGGACACTGGGAGGCAGTCCTCATTTTTGGAAAAGCTGTGTTTAACTTTTTTAAAGTGCTAAATAAAGCTATCTGAAATGGTACTTAGACCACTACTCTGGCCTTAAAACATTCTTTCTGTGTTTTAACATTTCAAGTTCTTGTAATGAAGCCAGGGATACCTATATTTCCCCAGAAACACAGATCATCACAATTCCTAAAGCTGGATTCCATCAACTACCATAGCAGGCCCCACTCCTGGGCCCCGACTAGCAATCCCAGCCCCAGGGGCAACCCTGCCTGGCCAGTCGTCCACAACTTCTCTGACATCATCTGGCTGGAAACATATCAGAGATGTAACCGGGTTAAAACGTGTCTCACTGGCAAGGAAAGCCCCAAATCTGTGACGCGGGCTCCTCACACTCGCGGCTGCCTGAGGAAGGGGGTTCTTGGCACGCGGCCACCGGCCTCCCATAATGCTCAGTGTGGATGTTGTTCAGGGTTAGCACATCTCCCATGTACACAGCCAGCCCCGGTCCCAGGCTCCCCTCCACGGGGCTCGGGGCAGGCGACCAGGAACAGGTGAGCAAAGGGACTCCCAGGGCCTGAGAAGAGGAGCAGCACTGGGCCTGCGGCACTCTGGGAACCTGGCAGTTCAAAAACACCCGGGGCCAGGCCCCAGAACACCCGACAGCGGGCTCTCTCACCTCGTGCTCCTTGCCATCTGAACCCAAACGCCACCGAGCAACGAGTCCTCAGGAGAGGAAGCCTCAGAAGGCCCCAGGGAGGCCAGGTGGAGGAGCCAGATGGCCAGGAAGGGGGCCTCCTTCCTCGTGACCCACCAAGGGGTCCTGGTGCTCAGCAGGCTCCGGAGGTCTTCAGACGGGCAGCGAGGAGTAGAGGTGGCCGAAGCAGGGGCCCGAGGCCACATGCCTGTCCAGGACAGCCCTGCCTCCTTGCCACAGAGACTGACAGAGATAGTGGGCGGCAGGCAGAAGGCCAGGGCTAGCTGTCCCTGTCACCACCACAGGTTTGGTGGCTCCTCAGCCACTCTGCTTTTAAATAAGGTAATCTCATCCAGGTGCACCATGGGGACGTCCCGGATAACATCAGTCAGGCCCTCGTGGAGCAGAGGGAAGATGACGACGTTCAATGCGGGCCGCTCGGCCTGGAAACTAAACCAGAGGCAAGCAGTTAGTGGAGCCCAGGGACACATGGAGGAAAAGGAAGGTGTGGGCATTCACACCATCAGGGAGCCTCCTGATGCAGAAATGTCCCACCAGGGCCTTCCTGCCAGGGTTCCAGGACAGGCGGTGAGGGGCAGACAGAGGGGCTGCCACGCTGCTGTCTGGGCACAGGAGAGGCGCCTGCTCAGCTGCACAGAGGAATGGAGGCCGAGCAAGGCAGCCTGCTAGCATGGTCACTCAGGGAGGTGCAGAGCACAGTGTGTTGGACAGGCCACTGCACTCCTGGGGGCTCTGCAGAGGTAAAGCATGCCCAGGCAGCTGCAAAATAGAGGCCTCTGGTCACCAGGTGCTCCACAGCCAGGGTGACACCCTCAGGGAGTGGAGCAAAGGCACAGACACCAAACCCTCGTGCCCGCAGGCCACCCTTGAGGGACACAAACTCCCAAGTCAGGTGAGGCAGCAACTCTGCCAGGATGTAAACCAAGGCTGCCACTAGGAGCCATGAGCTACATGACAAATGGCTGTCAGGCTACTTTCCCGCCTTCCCACCACACAAGGGACAGGCCCCCACGAGAAGTGCAGGTGTGCAATGTCCATGGAATGTCTGCGGGAGCCAGGGACTGTGCTGAGCACCCACAGGCGTTGTCTCACGTCGCCCTCCCCACGGCCCCAAATGGCCGGCCAGCGCAGTACAGTGCCCAGCCTCCCTCCCACCTGAGGTCCCTCAACCAGCCAGTGGCAGAGTGGGGCCCCATTCCTTCACACTGGCCCACCCTGTGCAGCAGCCTGATGCCGGACCTAGGAGCCCAAGGTGAAGCGGGGACACAGCGGCCCATGTTGCAGAAGGAAGACGTCCAGACCCCAGCTTCTGTCCAGGGAGAAACTTCTGTCCTGAAGGTTCCAGAGGGCAAGGGACAGGAAGGCGCCCACATGACAGGGAACTTGACCTTCAGCAAAACCAAGGTGGGTCCCCTCCTCCCCATGCCTGCTCACGGAGAAGCCACAGGCTCAGCCCCTCCCCGTGGCCCCAGAGGGCACAGCACTGGATTCATGGCATGCGTAAAGTAGGCTTCAGAAAAGGGCTCGTAACACTGATGTTCTGTCAATATGGATGCCCAGGAAAGGCCTCCCAGCTCTGCACGCTGTTCCTGTCTGTGACCATGAACCTCATAGGCAAGTTCTTGCCTGCAAACCTGCTATTGGATTTACTTGACTTGAAAACAAAATATTCTCAGATGTGGGATGTGCGTGCAAAGTTTCCTTGCTTGCCTGCCTCCTCCCCTCCCTGGCGGAGTCACCTCAAGCTCTTTACGAGCTGTTGTCAAGATGCTAAAGGCGGATTAATTTCTCACCAAGAGCCAGGAATGCAGCACTGCGGCCTGGGGTGGCTCTGGGCGGCTGCAGCCTTCCAGGTGAGCAGGCAGACGGCCCTTGGGGGCCTGCACAGAGGTCCCTGAGCAATGGGTGAGGTGTCACCACAGAATTCAACCCCACGGCCTTCTTCAGGCTTACACCTGGATACCCTGGATCCACAGAGCACACCCAGGCATCCTCCTGGGAAAGCCCATCCTGGTCTGAGGAACCTGCGCAGCCCCCCTCGGCTGGAGCCCTGCCGTCCTGCTAGCCGGACAGCCAGAGACTTCACGCAGCTGGGCAGGCCTTGTCCGTGGTGAAGCCTAGAGTCTGTGGCAGCAAAGTGGGGATGACGGCAAAGGCAGAGGCAAAGATGGTTGGCGTCCTTGTGCTGGGCTGGGGCTCCCTCTGGAGGGCAGGGCCCCACCTGGGGAGGCGAGGTCGTGGGGCCTTGAGCTCTTGGGAGCTGGTGAGGGGGCTCGTGTGCTCCAGGGGTTCTGTGTAACTGGCGTACGTGATATACTGCATTTTTGTGGAACCAATATAGTTTGAGATTTAAGTAAATAGAAGCAATGACATAAAACTCTTCCCAGCTACTCAATTTAGGAGCCAGGCTGGTACTGACAGCAGAACAGGCCACCTCTCAGGACTACTCTGTGGCCAGGATAATCCCATCACTACTGTGAAGACCCAAGGCTGCAGCCTCTGGCCTGATGTCACCAAGGGCAAAATCTGGACCTGAGAGGTTCCCCTCTGGGCACAGGCATGCAGGCCCCCACAGGGACATCCTGGTGTGCCCCCCAGGCCCCACACTGCCCTCAGCCATACCCCATATCGTCCTGGGCAGCAATGCTGGCACAGGCCATGCACCAGAGGCAGCACAAGGTGGGAGCCCTGGTTCCCCTGGAATTGTGCAAATTCTTAGCCAGGAATCTCCCCTGCGGGCAAAAGAGTCTAGCTCTCTGGAGCCCATGCACAGGCCTGCCTGCTCACCCTGAAGCCCGGCACCTGCACACCTGCTGCCTGGCTCCTACAAGAGGCAGCAAGAAGCAATGGCCAATGGGGTGGGGTGGGGGGTGAAGGGGGAAACCCCGTGGAGAGCAAGACCCACAAGAGTCAGTCACCCAGAAAGGCCAGCCCCTCCCGGAGGGTCTGAGGATATTCCCTCAAGGCCTCCAAAAAGACAGAGTTTAAGGAAAATTAAACTATACTTACACTTTGCTATTCATAATGGCTGAAGGAATGTACAGCATTGAGGACAAATTTCTACCTGAGGCTGTTAAAAAACAAGGTATCTAAAATGGGGCCTCAGCTACCCAAAATATAGTCTTTGAGTGCTCCAGGAAGTAGACAATATTTTTTGTTTCTTTGTTTAGAGAGAGTATTACAGAAACGTGTAGAGTGCAGGCCGTTGTGGTGCTGGGCGCGCCGCTCTAACCTGGCACCCCTCCCATCTTGCCAGGCACCAGCCATGGTGGGCCCTGCCCACCTCCTCATCCTTGTCTTCCTCTTTTGTGTTATCCTGTTATATTTCACATACTTGTTCCAGAGGTGGCTGAGGTGATGTGTCAAAATACAATCTGAGGCAGGCTGGTTGTATTTCCTTACATCCCTACATGACTGTGAGGCAGTCGGGACCCTCCATCCACTCGCCCAACGAGAATAAAATGCCCAGCATGCCCCAGGCCCCTGTGCCCACCTGTCCCTACAGCGGTGTCTAGCCAGCAGGGCTTCATATCTATTTAGCTGTTTCCCTGGAAAGACACAATTGAGGAACTCCTTTTTTACTATATCAATAAGCATCATTTAATACAGTCATTATTTCTGAGTTTTTAACTGTTTCCTCAGAATAAATCCCAGTAATAGGGTTAGGGTCAAAATATACGAATATTTTTAGACCTCAAAAGAAGCCTACAATGGACTCAGACACCAATTAGGGCCACAGTGAGGGGCCGGCTGACCTCCCACCCATATAGGCCAGGAGAACGCTGTTCTGGAGTGACTAACCAGGAGGACTCCCGGACCTACTAGGGCCCCTTGATTTTATAAGCGCGTCTCCTCTGCCTGTGGGCCTTTCAGAGAAGCAGAGAGAACTGGCTGGGTCAGGCACACTGGGCTCCAAGCTTGTCGCCAGCACAAGCACACGGGACTCCGGAAGGTGTGCCCTGCGCAGCTGCCACACTGAACCAGCTCCAAGCCCACCCCTGCGCGTGAGCACAGGTAGGACACCAGGCACCCCAAGACTCCAGGGTACTGCAGAGCTGGAGAGGGGTGGAACTGGCCGGATCATCTGAGAAACACCTGCTGGGTGTGTTTCTTTGCCTGAGAAACTAGAAATAAAATTAAGGTTGACAGCCTCTTCCTCTCAAAATAAAGGTCTTTTAGAGCCAAAGGAGTAAGACTTCTTATAAAAACCACCTTAATGACTACCTTCAAGAAGCACAAAGGTGGATGGTGGCCGAGAACAGAGCCAGCCTGGAGCTGGTGAGGGAGTGTCCACCCAAGGGTCAGGGAACTCAGATGCTGCTCTGTGGAGGGGTGAGGGGAGCGCCTCCCAAGTCCCCCACTAAGCCTATGGGGACCCAGAGCTGACAACACGCCCCTCACAGCCGGAAAGGCCACCACCAAGAAAGAGTCCTTGGTGCTGGGCAGAGGTCACCTGCCAGCCAGCAGGGGCAGCCACAGCCACCAAGGGTCCTGGAAATTGACCTGTGCCTTGTCTAATCAGTGAGCATTTTTGACACTGACCAGGAGGGGTGGGGAGGGTCACAGGCAGGCCCCCAACATTCCTCCCTGTCCCACCTGCTGGATGCTCATGGGGCCCACGGCGCCCAGCCTGAGGCCTACCAGCTCCCTGATCCAGCCCCATGGCTGTCCCCACAAACAGCCAGAACTTGCCGGCTACCAAGCTTTGAGTCAAGGCAAGGACTCCCCAAGCTGAGCCCTCAGGAGAGCCGCCCTGCTGGCCTGGTCCTCTCCCGTGACACCTGCGGACCGGCATTCCAGGTGGGAAGGACAAATCCACTCCAGACACATGCCATGAGACAGCTGTGAGCCAAGGCGATTTGCAATGAAGTTCAACTGCCCCCTTCAGCAGCAATTTAGGCTACAGAACAGCGCTAATTCCCTATTTTAAAATCCACTTTCAATTCTAAAGCTCCCAGTGTTCCCAGACTTAAGACTTAAACAACTAATCGCTCCATCTGTAAACTTTACTCATTTCTAAACACGTTCACAGAACACAAACACAGACAAGCCCTGCAGGTTTTCTGGGCATTAAGTGGTACATCTGAGCAGGAGGCCCGGGAGCCCAGCCCAAGCTGGGGAGCCTCAGGGCTGCTGTGGTGGGGAGTGGTTTCCTCCAGCTCCTGCGACTAGGAACCCACCTCCTCTCCACCCAGGCTGGTGCTGCTGCCTGCCGAACTCACAAGCCCACATTCCTCGCCGGCTAAGACCAGGCCGGGCAACACACTCCAGGACTGCTTGGGGGAAGAAAGAGCCTCAGAGGCAGAGATATGACCCAGTCCAGTAGGATGCTGGGCCCAAGTCACACCAGCCCAGGGGGATGGAGGACAATGCCAGCTCCTGCCCAAGGCATGGGAATCCTGGCACTCCCAAGAAAGGAAGCTGCAGTG